CATCTAGCACTTTCACACTTCCTCTCACGCTGCTGTTTAGGAGTGGAAAAGTTCCCAGTTAATTTCTGAGAAGTCATCACCTTATCCTCCTTGGAGTTCGTCCTCAAAGTTCACCTCTTCCACAATGCATACAGTCAGATACAACCTGATCATGACAAGGTAGTTAGACAAGTTGGAACTATTGCTCCCGTTGAGTAAAACTTGCACACATCGTGTTTTTCACCTTCTCCCATTCTCCCTCCCTCAGCTCTCTCATTTGTCTTATCTACATGCCGTCTTTTTGGATTTTGGGGCAGCAACTGTCTTTTTTTTTTTTTGGTATGTATTTGTACAACACCTGATAAAATAAGATCTATGTTGATTGAGGGATCTAGGCAATATTGAAATAACTGTCTAGCAAAACCATTGCTATTTTAAGATTTCAATCAGCTTGGACAGTGAAATGAGACCGGTAAATTTCTCCTTGTGCTCCTCTTTTGCTAGCACAGTGCTGCTGTGTTTGAGGTTCCCTATGCTATAGGAGAGTTCTAATTGCTCCCCCCCATCAAAAAAAAGTAATTGGTTCATATTAGGTTTTGTAGATTTTGATTACAAAACATTTTGCCCTTTAAAATACTTTGGTCCTTTAATAGGATAATGAAATAATACAAAATAATGGGTTGATGCTCGTTATAGTCTGTCATCAAAATCAACAAAGATGAAAGTCAACAAGATGAAATTCAGGAAAGACAAGTGCAAAGTACTATGCTTAGGAAGGAAAAATCAAGGAAGCAAGGAGTCAGGGAACATCTAACTAATTCTCCCAGGTGAGGTAGGGTACAACTGGCAGGTTGTCTGCAGACAGGGCCGGCTCCAGGCACCAGCTTGGCAAGCAGGTGCTTGGGGCGGCCACTCCGGAGAGGGGCGGCAGGCCAAGCTATTCGGCGGCAATTCAGCGGATGGTCCCTCACTCCCGCTCGGAGCGAAGGACCTTCCACCGAATTGCCACCGTAGATCGCGATCGTGGCTTTTTTTTTTTTTTTTGGTCTGCTTGGGGTGGCCAAAACCCTAGATCCGGCCCTGTCTGCAGAACAAGTTAATATGGTTCTGAATACCACTGGGTTGCTCTACACACCCTCTTAACTACAGAGGTGTCAGAGGAGCACAGCTGACTGGAAAACCAATGTCAGCATAGGAACAGAGCCAGCCTTGCTTGCCTGTGTGGTAGAGAAAGCCAAAGCAGTGCAGAGTCAATGTTACTATGGGTAAGGCCCACAATCCATGGGACGTTCTAATGGATTCATTGCTGATGCATGTTTGGCAGACCAAGTAGGGCGTGGGTTCCGAGAAGGGGATATGCATGGGGGCAATGTAACTGGGACAAAATAGTGATTCTCTAATAAGGTGGGAATTCTCCATCAGGACCTCATCAGGACTGGCCTCTGCTTGACCCTTCTGCAGTTGGCAGCTGTCAGGTATACATACCAGGAAGATGCTTCACAACTGTAGCCTTTCCTAACATTCAAATTCTTTCCTCTTGCATACCTCTATGAAGATGGGAAATATGGCTCTTTGTTTACTCATCATTAAATAGTTAATTTTGCAGCTACATCTAAGCTATTCTCTCCATTATTCTTTCTTGTTGAAGGGTTCACATGTTTTCATATTTTCATATTACCTTTTCAATGGGAGAATGATTGGTTGGTTTGTACAATGACTGCCCACCTCTTCTGGTATATAGAAAGAGAAGAAGCTCAATTGAGGGAGATCTGGGAATTGCTGTAATTAACCAGAACAGATGTAGCATTCCCAGAGAGAGAACCTTGATGAGTGGAAAGATAATATTCTGTTGAATGTGGAGTCCTTCTTGTAGGTATAAATTGCCTATTTGTTCATAGAAATCTAAGGAATGAATACACTTTTTGCCTAAATAGAATATATGCTAATTAAAGTCTAAGTGACTATTTTCAGAGTGGTAAGTAATTATTGTGAGTCATGATCTGTCAGCCATCTAGAAGCCTCCTCTTCATAAATTCATTCCCAGCATTTCATTTTGCAATGCTGGCTAGTGCTGGTCAAATACCACACACGTTATTTGTGTTCAGGCATGGCAAGTTCATTCCATTATTCATGGGGGTCTCTTTATTCACAAGTGTTCAGACAGCTGCCAATTTATTTACGACTGTTAGCCAATTCCAAGAATTTTACAGATTGCATTATAAATGATCATTCAGCCAAATGTTTGCACTGGATCGTCTGCTATTTGCTTTTTGTTTGTTTGCTATTTTCTGTTTGTTATTCTCTCATTTTTAAAAAGTTTCAGTCCATCAGGAAGCAGAAATACTTGTGACTTAAATGACGAGTACTAACATGCCGCAAACAACAGAATGCAAATAATCCAAGTGAACAGTTCAAAAAGGAAGGCTGGACTTGTATATATGGCACCAGACTGAGGTTTTGGAGATCTGGGTTCTGTTCCTGGCACTGCCACCTAGGGCTGAGCATTAAGAGAAGCCAGTTTGCTGAAGCTGTGAGTGTGCCATGTGCCAACAGCTTTATAAGTGAATGTAGAGATCAAGGACAGCATAAAGACACAATAAGACAATAAAACTATATTCTCTATATAAGGTAGAGAAACTGGAAATCAATAATTTATATTATTTTTATTCAAATGCAAAATTTGAAATGGATTCTTACCCCCCAAAGGAAAGTTAATTCATGCTGCGAGGATGATGAAATGGAGTCTTCTGGTGAAGGAAGTTTCATGCTGGTTTATTCCCCTGCTGGTGTTTGTTTAAATGCAAATTGATCTGTTTCCTGTAATCTCTTCCCCTTGCCATGATGGTGAGTGATTATCTCCTCCCCTTGTTGGCCTTATACTCCTATTTATCCTCTGTGTAAATTGCATTCCCATTGTCTCTTAATGTACCTTCAAAATATCTTCTAGAAACCACATTCCTTTGTCTTGGGTGGGGTAACTTTAGCCCTGCATGGCAGACACACTTTGATAACATAATGTCGAATATGTTTGTAATTTTGAATTTGTCCTTTGTATGTGATGCAATAATTAAGGCTGCGAGTTTGTCACAGAGGTCACAGAAGTCACGGATTCCTGCACCAGGCGCAGCGTCCGCTGCTGAGGCAGTGTCAGGCCCCCGCACCTCCACTGCATGACCCCACCAAGCAGCAGAGTTTGGGTGTAGGAGAGGATAGAGGGTTGGGGCACAGGATGGGGTGAGGTGGACTTTGAGCGGCTCTTAGCTGGGAGGCTCCCCGGAACCAGCGACATCCCCCTTGCACGGTTGCTAGGCGGAGGCATGGCTAGGCAGCTCTGTACACTGCTTCCGCCCAGAGCACTTGCTTTGCAGCTCCCATTGGCTGGGAACCACGGAGCCTGCAGGTGGAGGCAGCACACAGAGCTGCCTGGCCACGCTTCCACCTAGCAACTGAGCAAGGGGGATGTCACTGCTTCCAAGGAGCCCCCCCCAGGTAAGTGCTGCCCAGAGCCTGCTTCATCCTGACCCGTGGCCCAACCCCCTGCCCCTCCAACACCCAAACTCTGCTGCGGCTGGGGGGGGAGGGGAGGCACGGACCCAGGTAGGGAGCCTGTTGGCCACTCTCTTGTCCTCCCCAAGCAGCCGGGCCACCCTCCCCCAGCACCTGCAAGGCCCCTGGGCAGTTCCCCCCCCCAAAGTTTTATTCACTGGTATTTTTAGTAAAAGTTATGGACAGGGTTATGGGCAGTGAATTTTTGTTTACTGCCCGTGACCTGTCCATGATTTTTACTAAAAATATCCGTGACCAGGAGCGGCGCCAGGGTTTTTGGCGCCCTAGGCAGGGGTCCTTCCGCGCTCCCGGTCATTGTCAGCAATTCTGCGGCGGGAGGGTCCTTCCGCGCTCCCGGTCTTCAGGGCACTTTGGCGGCGGGTCCCAGAGTGAGTGAAGGACCTGCCGCAGAATTGCCGCCTAAGACCCGAAGCGCGGAAGGACCCCCCGCCGCTGAATTGCTGCCGAGGGTGGCAAAATGCCGCCCCCCCAAATCCTGGTGCCCTAGGCAACCGCCTAGATCACCTAAATGGAAGCGCTGGCCCTGTCTGTGACTAAAACGTAGCCTTAACAATAATATCAGTGATCAGTATGGTGTTAGCTTTCTACTGATATCTTACATGACACCTTCTAGATACAGGTTATGACATTAGTGAGTTGGGATACATTGAATGGGTCGGACCAGCTGAAACTCAATACCAGATAACAGTGAGTCGCTTGCCCTCTTGCACTGCGATGCTGTTAAGATCACAGTATGCTGCAGCAACAACAAAAAATGTGAAATGTACAATGGTATCCCCTCTTTGCTGCAGCAAGGGATTATACTGTGCCATGGTAAGGGTTGACTTTAATGGGCTCCCACTATACAAATTGTTACTTCTTGGTATTGGGTCAAACAATTGGCTCATCACATCCTTACCTATGGCACTAGAAAGTTGAAAGGTAAGTAAATGTGAGAGACGTGGTCTTGAAATCATCTATTAACCTGGCACTACTGAATGTTTAAAAGTGTAAATGAAGGGAGGGCTTGAGAGTTTGCACAATGAAGCCATGGTTAACATTTGCCATATGAATTTCTATTCCTCCCTCCTATCTGAACATCTTGGTTTTCAAGCTCTGTAGCTAGGAAACAGTTACTGTGCTTCAGACCTGAATCCTCATGCCTGAAATGCCAGATTGCTGTTTAAATTCTTAGGTCATGAGGCTGAATCTAAGGTAATAGCCATAACTAACAGCAGCACAATCAGAGAGAGAGAAAATAAGATCTCCCCCCCCCCCCAAAAAGTGGGTCTTTGATATCCAGAAGTCTTTCCTGGATATCCTAAAGGAAATACAGAAATCTAATGTGCCACAAATTCATTTTGCATTTTGTTTTTCCTTCCAGAGTTTATATAAAAGCATTGATGTAAATGAAATAACAATGAGACAGAAGTAATTAATAGACAGAAGTATTTATTCAGCTCTCTTGCCCTCAGGTGGTTGTTCCTTTGATGAACACTACAGTAACTGTGGTTATAGCGTGGCACTGGGGACCAATGGATTTACCTGGGAGCAGCTCAACACCTGGGAAAAGCCAACGATGGATCCTGCTGTCCCGACTGGTATGTATGGAGCATGCAGAACAGGGAAGGCCATTAACAGAGTGTTCGTATTTGGATGGGATTTCCTGTGAGAATTTTTCTACATGTGAAGCTCTGTGCTGACTTGTATGGGTTGGAATTCATCCATTTATATGCAACTGGCTTTTGTGTTAAAAGTAACCAAGTAGAGGAATGCATAACAATTAGAAATGGGAAAAAACTGGGGCAACTTGTCAAAACATAGACATTTGCCATTATTTTGTCAGACCATGAGTGAAGTGTGTGGGATCCATTTTATTTCAACCCTCACTTGTGGAGAGAGGTGAGTTTCAGAAAAAAAAATGGTCCAGGGTTTGGCCAGTCTTTGGACCCGCTCTGGAGAGATGCAAAGTGCTTTTTTTTTTCCGGATGAAGCCAGGGGAGATGAAAGTGCTGAGCATGTCACTGGAGGTGCTCAACACCTTGTAGGATCGGTCTCTTCGGGAAGTTCAGGGATGTCAGACTTTCCAATAGCTCATTACACTGTAACTTCAGTGCTGTGAACTAGCAGTCTATGGTGTTTGGGTATACAGTATAAAGGTGACAATGCTTGTTCCCTGTGAAGAATGAGCGTATTCTAATGGGATAAACTGGACCTGGACCCACCCTGACTAGTCTTGGGTTCCAGGAGACAAATTATGTTCCAGTATTTGGGAATGCCAGCAGAGATGGACACTAATAAATAAGTTAATGATTTATTAGTGGGTACAGACATCCAAGTCCTCTGTTTTCTAGGATATCTAAACTGGAAGATCTTCTCTGGAAAGTTGTCTGATGCTTCAGCATCACTCCCAGAAGTACTGCTTCCTCTTGGCAGTTAGAATTTGGTAAGCTGGGCTGTCAAATAAGTTCTTTCCCAGGTACTAGTGATTTTGGGTGTTCAACTAGACATTTTTAAAGGTACCTGATTTTCAGGGAGTGTTCTGCAGCCATCTTCTGAAAATCAGCCATGTTAGAGGTGTAACATTTGACACCCAAAATCACTGGTCACTTTTGATGATTTTGGTCTCTGATCCATTTTGCCAACACAAGAAGTCATTGTTTCCACTTACTGCATTGTATTTTGACAAGGTAAGCATGAGAAAAATGGGCAAAACTAATCCAGAATGTTGTCCAATAGGGATTTTTATCCCTGCAGTGATTAGAATGAGGGGGGCCACAGCTCCCACTCCTCTGCTAGAGGAAGAGCAAGGTCCTCAACAGCTCTTTCTTTGGCTGGTACAGTCATAGCTCCTCATCCTGTTTCAGTCTACTTCAGTCACTGTTGTTGAGGCCAGTTCTCATCTCTGTACACAGTTATTGGCATTAGAAAGTAAACATGCCACAGCAACCACAATGACTGAGCAATTCCTCCATTGCTTCCAGGTTTCATTTATGCCCTGGTTGCATCTTGTTTTCAGTTTAGATTGGAAACTGTCTTTTAGTGTCTATACAGCACTCACCACACCTGATCTCGGCATGCTACTGTAGTACAAATAAATTGTGATAGCAGATACAGCATTCTCCCATTCTCACTGCAAGGAAATATTGCTTTATTTGGATATGAATGTGCATAATTGTTAGTAAACGTAGTTAGTAACTTTCTCCTGGTAAGCATGCTATGCAATCATGCAAGACCTATTTTCAATCTGGGACACTTAGGCTTTGGCACCCTAAGTGGGACATCTTGTTCTGTACTCATGCTGGAAAAGTTGGGCAAAGTATCGCTCTACGTATAGACTTACACACATTGGGGTCCTATATACATCCATTTATAGATAACATAACCCTGAATGGTGCATGTGTGTCCATACACACAAACAAACTAAACTCTACTATACCATGGTATTTTTAATAGCAGAAGAAAAATTAGTACTATACCATTGTAATTTTTGTTACCTTGATGGTATTTTAGGCCATATCCTAGCTTTACAGCAGGAGATACCACATTGTGCAATCTTTGGTGGCATCCAGAGTCCATGGAAAGAGTGACTTTTACCAGACGGGTACAAGATTTGTTCATCAATAGTACTTTTTATGTCTGCTCTTGTGCGATGGCAAGGTGTAGCACCACTATAGTCCAGCCTGCATCAGCATTTCCATGATCAATACTGTTTTTATGTACATTCTCTGTCTGGTTTCCCAAACACCAGCAGGCCCCACTGACTTCAGCTGGAGCTGTGAGTGCTCTTCTGAAACAGATGCTTAATCTATTGTGATTTTTATTTCCATGCTGAGACTCTGCTACAAGGGTCTCCATCCAAGGACAACTTTCTGCTCTTTATTCTTTGAATCAAAATGCCCCAAAAGATTCAAACACTCCATCATCAACGTTAAAAATTTTGGACATTTTATTTTTGATCATTACTAGCAAATAATAATGTTTGCCATGAATTCTGTGATAAATTGCCCAGGACTGGAAACAAAGGGCTAAGTTAATTGGAGAATTAAGATCCCAGATGTCGGTTGTTTTATTAAATAAATGCTATTTTTAAAAATCTGACAGAGATAAGTCATGGGTACCCATCCACTGATTTAGGTAGGACTTCTAGTCCACCTCCTTGCATTTTAGCAGGAGAGATTATAACAAAATCTTCCTTAACAGATGGATGTCTAATCAAGCCTTAATATCCCCAGTGAGGGGGATTTTGCTGCCTTTTTGCAACTTGTTCCACTGACTATTTGAGTTGTAAACTTTTTCCTACTTCTCAATTTTACATTTTGTGTCTCCATCACATTATTTCTTGTTCTGTTCTTGTTGACTAGTGAGAATAATCAGTTGCTGCCCCCTTTATAACCTCCTTTTTTGTACTATACACAATTAAGCCTTCATTTCTCAAGACTCAATGTGACCCAGTCCTTTAAATCTTTCCTCACATGGTATGTCTTATTTCCCTCCCTATGCCCCCAAGCCTGTTTTCATTGCTCTTGCTTTCCTCTCAGGTCTCTCCAGTGTATGTGATGTCTTTTTGGAGTCGTTGCCCAAAACTGAACCCTGCATTTACCAGGCATTGATTCAATACTCCATAGGGGAGCAGTGGCAGGACAATGGTTTCAACTCTATTCTACATGAACTGGCCACAGAAAACAAGCCTATTCTGTTGCTGCTCCTTCTCTTCCAATGCAGGGTAACATGCAGTCTCGGCCCCCCTCCAACCTCTCTCACCCTTCTTAAGTACTAGTATTGGACGGTGCTCGAAGAATACAGTCCTTGAGCTTATGAGATGCATGTGTACACCTCTCTGTGTGTGTTTCTTAGAGGCAAACATTTCTGTAGGAAAAGTATCCTACATTATGGTCAGCCAGGCAAAAATAAAAGCCTTTTACGAGACTGCAACACTTGCAGCATTCCCCGCACCTTGGACATGTCTGGCCCAGTAGCAGCCGAATCATAATAATAATGGTTTAACATTTTGTGGGTTCAAAGCGCTTTACAAGCATTAACTAATTAACTCCAGAGAAAACCTAACCAGGGCTGATTAGAGTGGAGTAATTACTTTAATTGTATTACATACGATTCCACTATGAATACAAAATCAATATGGCATGCACTTTTTGCAGCAGTGTCACATTGTTGACACTGATTAAGTGTTAGATTTGCTATTACCCCCGGTTCATTCTGTGGAGCTATTGCATTCTCCTTTGAGTGATTATGCACATATGCATTCCAGTACTGGTGTGTGTGCACCCAATGCATGAGTCAGAGACTTTTGCCAGAAGTACCACTGGGCGGTATGTGCCCCTGATCTCTTCATGTGCCCATCTGAGGGCATAAATGAGACAAGTCTGCCATCTTCCTCTCAATTCCTTCTCACTGCCTGTTACAAGAGCTGGAGTTCCCCATGGCGTTTGCTTCAATTAGCCAGTGTTTCAAATTTCCCCACCAGGACTAAAAATCAGAGGGATTTATGCCTGAAAGTTCGCCTTCTGAAAGAGGCGTTGCATCCCGTGTCAGAACTGAGTCCTGACCATGAGGTAGTAGATTCTGAGTCCATGACAAGCATCCCCCCAACTCCCCACAATTCAAAGTGACGGTTTGATGCTGACAAGCACTTAAAGCCTCGGTCTTCTCCTATAAAGACTTCCAGTAAACCCTCTGGTACCTTTCCAAGGCACCACAGACAGCATTCACCAGGCCTGTCTGAGGTTTCACTGTAGACTCAAGATCCTTCAGGGCTATCAAGATCAGTGTCTTCACCTTTACTAGGTCCTTCATCATCATTCCAGCCAATCCAGTCTACTTCAGCACCTCCAGATGAACACTTATCTGTTTTGGTGTTCTCCACTCTGTGGGCTTTCTTGCTTGCAAGAGATCTTCTGTGCCTTCCCCTACCAGACTCTCCATTGCTACAATTGACTTTGGTTAGGGGAACTTCAGTGTCTTTGGCACCGCCTGCATGAGCAGCACCTTGACACACTTGTGTTGCTGGCACCTTTGGCATCATCCGCAGCCAGCAGCACTCACCTCATTGGCATGCTGACTGCTTCGACCTTTGCTTCCTTTGGATCCCTGGGGGTCTCCCATACCCAGATCACCTCAGAACCATAAGGGGACCTCTCCTCCCTTTTCTGAAGAAACTTACATTTCTTCTTTGGACTCTGAAAGGGAGGAATCTGCATCACCTTCATGATCTTTTAAATCCTCTTACAGATCTCGTACCCAGGTTACAGGTCCTAAGGATCAGGACTGATTTTCTAATAAAGAAGCTCCAATATGATGTCCCCCACTGTGGGTGTCTCAGACATTGCAGTATCCCCCATGGCCTTATTGGTCTTGCATTACGCCGAGGCTTTCTAGACCTCCATCACAATTTCAGTCTAGGAGGAGGTTTCCCCCTTGGGTTCAGGATTCTGCCATCATTCCTCCAGCCACTGAATTGGACCCTGTGGAGGTAGGAGAAATAATGGAGGAACCCCTAGAGGCTCCCCCCTGTAATTTTATCTTGGCCAAATGAAGCAGTCACCCCAGAATTGACATCTGCCCTCCAGAGGACTTCAGCGTT